TAAGTAAGTTTTTTGTTTGGCTAGTGAATAATATTAATGTTTTTAATTTCTGACTTGCTTTTTAGTACTTCTGACATATCAAGAAGTAATTTTTAATACTTCCGATTTTTTGGAAATAGGGTGTGGGTGTGGGTGTGGGTGTCGGTGTGGGTGTGGGTGTGAGTGTGGGGGTGGGGGTGAGGGTGGGGGTGGGGTATGAGTCTGAGCGTGGGTGCGTAATGTGGGTGAGGGTGGGGTATGAGTCTGAGCGTGGGTGCGTAATGTGAGTGAGGGTGGGGTGACGGTCTTCTCTGCAACGACGCCAAGACCAACACGCACACGCACAACCACACTACACCCTACTCCCGCATCACACGCACAGATACATCCATCCACGCCCACTCACTCATTCTCACACCTCACCGTTCAAACCGTGTGACATTAAGCAGCATTTTAACGATAAAACAACATTTTTTCAACTATCTGGGGAGCATTATTTTTCTTGAATTTTGCGAAAATTATACGTACTGGTATTCGATTGTGTATTTACTACTTGTGCAGAACTCGTCGACATGAATGTAGCTGTTGTGCGTTGTGTTCCTAAAATACGAGTTAGATAGTTCGTAGGTCGGTGCTACATATTGTAAGAAAGGCATATCGTCAGAGAAATAGCAGATTGCCTTTATCAATACCACAATATATAACGAAGAAACTTAAATCCAGTCATCTGTTTTACCCATGCTGAGAAACAGTTTAAAACCCCTTTGAAATATCTCAGATTTCCTCTCTTGGTCAACGGAATAAAAAAAGGTCATATTTCAAACCAACACCCACTAACGCTCACACCTCATCTAGCCACTAAAAAGGAAAAGAAAAATAAATGTCATGGGCAGTTCGTATTTAAAATTTATTAGTGTAACATTGAGAGATTCAATTGGATCTGATTATGTCTAATGTTCTTTACTAACATTACAAAATCTTCAATTGCGAGAGAAAATTTAATCTTTTCAAAACAATTGAAAGACGGATTATTGAACTGTGTCATATTTGGACGAATCTTGGAAACATCATCGTCTTTTGTTATGTTAATTGAATGCAATTCGCGAGTAGTGAGCTTTAAGAAGAATGTGTTACGCGTGAATATGAATGAAAAAGATAGTAATTACAAATTTTCGCTCTGTTTTACACTACAAGTGGAAGTTTTCATGCATATGACAAAACTTATCTAATATCTGGCTATACAATGATAGGAAAGGACAATTAAGAAGTTTCCATCTCATGAGAGTTTACAGAATGAGTGCGGTGCAAAATTTGTTTTTGAAATACAGGCAAACTCACCAGTAACAACATTGAGGGTAACAGTCGTCTCTTCAGTTGAAGTTCTATTCCTTGCTGTCACCTGGTATACACCTTGATGTTCTCGCTTTACATTTGCCACTGAAAATGTATATCGTGTTGTCTCCTCGCTTGTGAACTGCACTGCTTTTCCACCTTTTGTCAGCTGAACTTTCGGTGTTTCCTTGCCACTCACATCCACGGCAATGTCGAATGGTTTGCCTTCTTGTAAGTCAATTGTATCCGATGCTGGTTTCATTCTTGCTAACTTCACTGCCTCCAGCACTGTAAGTCTGCATGGAGTCGACTGTATTTCACCAACTTCGTTCTTCAACACGGCTCGATAGGTACCTTCACTTTGTATCACCGTTGCTTTTTTGATTAACAGTTGATATTCACCCTTGGCCTCGTCTATCAACGTATTTTCCGATCTAATGGCCTCATCTTTGAAGAACCATTGTGCAAAAGGTTGTGGTGATCCTTTTGCAACCACTTTCAGTATGACATCTTGTTCACTCACAATTTCTTGTTGTTTGGGCAACTGTGTGATGATTATTGGTGTAGTAAGAACAGTGAGTTGAACAGTTTCTTCTTCATTACCATAAGGATTCTGGAGCCGACAAGTAATCGAACCTGCATGTTGTTCTCGATCGACGTTCCGAATGGACAACGTCGCTTCGCCAGTCGTATAATAGAATTGTACATGAACGCCTTCTTTCGTTGTCAGCTGTTTGCCATTGAAAAGCCATGTGATAGTAGGTGTTGGATATCCATCGATTCGTGTCTTGAACAAGACTGTCTCACCTTGTTTTACTTTTTGTGTCGTCGGCTTGACAATAAACACTGGCGATTCTACAAAGGCAATTTTAAGTCGGTTTCAATGAATGCAAGTCCATGAAACTTTTAGCGCATATGAATCGAAGTACTTCTATTTTGAGTTGTATAACTCATTGGAAATTCCAGAAATAGAATTTTTCTATTGATAACATTGAAGAGTTCGAAATGGTTTTTGAAAAGAAAAAGTTGTTAGACATTGATAAAGAGTTATAATAAATGAAAATCGTGTGAGATTTATAAACCCATACGAGACCTATAAATAGGTGTGGAACTCACAAATCGGTTACGAGCTTATATGTTATCGCTCTTACTGCATGTTTAGATATTGAAGAGTGTGAAAGGGAATGTATTTGATCCTCTCTTTACTCAAACACACAAAGCAGCTACACTTAGAAATAGACTCGTGCACGAACAAATAGTGCCTTTCCTACTAATTAATTCTTTCTTACTTCTACCATCTCATCAGTCGAAAGAGAAATAGACAGAGAAAGAGAAGAAATGAAAGATAATATGAGATACATAAGAGTAGTGCAAATGGTCTGATCCATCACAGAATGATAGCAGTTGACTTCGTACAATTCGCTTCTTAAGTTCGTCTTGATACAGACTTGTGAGTGACTATTGGATGTTTGATACTGCATATGAACTGTCTTCCGATCTTACTTCGCTCATTATCAAAGACATTAGATTTAAGTTTCTGTCGCGTTAGTCAACTAAATAGCTCTCCGTTCGAAAAATGAATCTAGAAGTTTAGATGACTGCCTGATTAATAAATCAGATTTATATCTATTAGGAGTCGTTGGGAGATTCTATCATCGTCTTTGGACTCATTTTTGCTTCCCTTTCTTCTTACGATGGAACATGACGTCCAAGTTTTTTTCAAAACAAATGTTAGCTTCATTCATATCACTAAAGCTTTTAGTACGATCCCTGGAAGATAAGCATGTGAAGCGCGACAAAGTCACTTTAATTGTGAACGACAGTCGTCGCCATTTCTATTGCAGCCCGCGGTTAGAGCAAAAGGAGCACTAGTTTGCAATGTCTGTCACTTTTCGCTATGATATATAGGCCTTTTTGACACGCTTGTCACATACTACTGGATAGCGGAACGCCAAGGAATAGGGTCCAACATTCTCATTACATACTTCAGCACTCATTAACAATCGTGTTTCACAAAAACGACGCACTACGCATTACATTAGATGCATGCTCGCATGGAAAACTCATGTCTGTTGTTCTAAACAGTAATATGATAGAAAAAACATCGGGCTAGCACTAAGCCAATCATGCAGGATGTTGAAAGAGATCTTGCACTTAAAGAGGACTTTCGAGTATGAAAGAGTATCGATTAGAATCAAATATAGTGGAAGACACCACAAGACAGGCAATAATTTACATGATGTTAAATATAGTATCTATGTCATGAAATTGCAAAGAGTCTAATAATAATAGACTAATAATGTCACACATTTAGTATAGATGTGCCTTTGACTATCAACATACTCACGTTATGTCTCTCTCCCAAGATCGTTTTAGGTCCGCATTATTAATGAAGTGAGTTCATATACTTCAGAATAGTTCGATAGGACTTGGTAAGAAAACTGAAAGCAAGAGCTCTACAATAACAAACATCTGTGAAGTAGAGAATGTTGCCGTTAGTTTTTTGTTCATATTATATGAGTGTGAACATAGATCCGGATGAACAGAAGACTGACGCTCAGTGCGGAGCAGCACTAAACCTATCTATCAACAATAAAAAAATGAAAAACGGAAAATCTGAAAATTTTAGGATATGAAAGGGAAGCATCTTTTAAAGAAAATACTTCAAGCGATTGTCATGTTCTTTCAATCAAGTTTAAGAGATAAAGATAAATTTAAGAGATTTTTATCGTTCTAGAAAAAAATTAGCTTAAATCGATTATATTGGTTTTACAACAGAAAACAGAGTTCAGTAAATACATCAGAAAAATGCTGGAAGTTAATGAAATATTTAATCGATGACTTGGACAACATCGACTTTTCGTGAAAGTTGTTATTTGAAACTCAAGATTCCATTGAATTTAAAGAAAAATTGTCATGAAGAATCTTTCTTTTGTTCTTTTAAACTAAAGCGATTTTAATTCACTTCTTAACCGTCTCTTTAAATGGGTAGCAAATTGATTCTTTATGTTCATTTTTTGTGATGCGAACATTAATTGAAGAATATAATCCTTGATATTTTTCGCAGTACACACTAAGTTAAAATGTGTCGCATGTGTCGTGTTTTGCGACACATTGTACAACACATTAAAGTACGACACGAGGAGCTCACTGCGACGCATTTTCTTCAGCAGGACCACGACACATTACGTACGACACATGCGACACATTTCCTATTGGTCCTTTTGGAAATCATATTTTGATTCTTTTTCAATTTAATTCCATTTAATTATTCATATTCTGAAGACTCAATCTGGTCAGATCCTGGGATCTGTCCAATCTCGAGTTGATCTGATTTGTATCAGACCGCTTCAGAGTAGTCCTCTCACAATCATGGATTGAGATTGGCATTTTCTCGATAAAAAAAATAATCGAGAAATAATTTAGAAAATAAAAATAATTGGAAGTTTTTTTCTATGTTCAACCACGTTGTTTATATATCACCAAGTGTGCATAATAAAACGGTGAACGAATAGTCAGCAAACAGAACGCGACAAATTCGTATACGACACATTCTAAGCACGACACATTTTTCTGCTGGAGTGTGCGACACAATAATTCACGACACATAAACACGACACATTTAAATTTAGTGTGTATCGAAAATTGAAGCTTTACTTAAGAAGTAAAATATTCTTTTGTTTTGGTTTTTACTTACTTGGGAGAGTTGGATTGATTGGTGGTGAAACAACAACTGTTACTGGTTGTAAGAGTGGAAATGGTGGGCTAGTTTCTTCCAATTGAATAATATGGAGATTACCTTGATTAAGACAACTGACTACTTTGAATTGAGTTGCAGCCATAAGAAGTACTTCGTCTTCACCTGGATAATACGAATGCTTACGGATATCTCTAGCTGATTGACATTGTAAGGTAAACATTGTTCTAGTACTCGTCATTCCCAAAAATAGTTCCGATTGTAGGACACCAACAGCTGTTGTGCATGATGAGAAACCCCACCAGACGATTGTTTCTCCTTTGATGTAGCGCTGACTTAGATCTAGCTTAACACCTCTGTACGCAGTTTTAGAAAGCGACGGAAGGCGAAAGAGTGCATTAAGGAAGAGTCTCATAAACAAATACCATGGTTCAAGCTTTTCTTGCCTATCTGATGAGCGTAATGTATCATTCAAAACGGAATATAAGCATTTGTCTAGTGGCTTCCATCCCATTGTGTACAGCATAATTGACGCGGATTCATCTTGTGTCAATCCATCGGCAGGATTCTTACATCGCTGTTTGGCAACATATGCGTGACTTTGAACAGCTGGTAGAATAGGGACAAGCGGTTGGACAGCTTGTTCAAGTGAAACAAGTGGCATTTCTTCATAGCCACCAATAGGTGTAATAAATTCAAGCGGCTCCTGGTCAATATCTGTAATGCGTAATATACGCTGTGCAGTCGCTTCTTTTCCACCTCCTGTAGCCATGTTCAGTAGAAAGTAAGTTCTTCACAAAATATTAAAATGGTATATATCTAAAAAGCGATAAACGACAACTTTTATAGAATTATTTTTAGCACCATTGATCTTTTTGTCTCTTGGTAATAATCAAGTTTTAAGGACATTGGACTTTTCTTACACTGCTGTATTTGATCTTATATAACCTTCAAGATTTACAGTACGCCTAACGTTAGTTCTAATACTTATGTGGACATATTCTCTGATGACACAATCAAAGTAATTTTAAATTTTTATATGGAATTGTTAATATCATAAAGATTTATTCAATACTGAATGCACACTATTTCCTTAACTATCAATTCCTCGTTGTCTAATTTTTTACTAGTTTTCTCAAAATGAGTTTCATTAAAATATAACTGTTTCTTCCAAAACTTTTTTCGAACTATTCTCTCCCTGATATTTCAATAAATGAACAGTGAGATTCGCTGAACACCAGAGATGTCCATGGCGGCGCTGCCGCGCCGCTGCCGCTGCCGCGACGCGACCGCCACGGCGGCAGCGGCAGCGGTAGCGGCAGATTTTTTGCGAAATCATCGCGGCAGCGGCAGCGGCGCGGTAGATTTTTAAAAGTATGGCAGCGGCAGCGGCAATTTATCTACTTTGGCTGTCGCGGCGCGGCGCGGCAGCGGTGAAAATTTTCGAAAAATTTCTCGAATTTTTTTCGAATAAATTTTAAGGCTTGAAATTATAATTCTGTCGTGATTCAGATTAGTGAGAACGTTTTTCTCGATCAACAGACTTTTAAGGCTATTCCATCGACTAACAGAAAGAGAAATATTAATATTGTGTAAATAAATGATGATGCTATTTGAAAACATGTTAATAGCAATTATAGAATATGTATGCTGCTCTGTTTTAATTGACGTGCGTTTTTATCATTGTCAATCTCGTTTCATAGGCACAATAAAAACAATATATGTTAAAAAAGTCGATATGCGTTTTTTTAATAATGAGCGATGCACAAGTCTTTGCCCAAATATCAAATCCTGTTAGACCATATTACCAACTTCTGAATTAATCAATTTTCCTTGTTAGAAAGAACAAAGTCTGAACTACAAATTTTTTATCAGACATATTTTTCCAGAACGAATCTGAGACGGAGGAAAAGCCAAAAAGCAAACACCTCTAAAAAAGTTCTTGCAACTTCACCATCGAGCAACATCATTTTCTATTTTCTGTTAGTTTCTTTTTATATTAGAAGAGGAGTGAGAAAAAACGTTCAATGATGTTTTTGTAGTAAAAATAGTGCTCTTTCTAATGATGTATTGGAAGTTAAATCTATTCCTAGTTTTTGTATCAACAAATAGCTTTTTCTGAAAGAGACTGAGTCATTTGGTCGTTCTCACTACTTGATCGTTTTACATCGATAAAAAATATTTTTTGAATATATTTTTTTCTGCTAAAATTCTACGATTAGATATATTTCGACCAAATAATGCGAAAAGAATTCAGTTCATGCATGATTTCTGGAGATGATGGCTGATATTTTTGTAAACTGATAGTTCTTGAAAAGGCTCAATTTTGCAAAAATTTCGTGTTTCAAACTTGTTTGATTAAAGAGTCAAGAATGGATCCCAAAATGTGTCTCAAAGCTGATATTATAGAGTTTTTAATGTGCTACATTCTAATGTATGTTTTCTTCAAATTTGACCTATGCAGCTTAAAATAATTGAGAAATACAGACTTTTCAAGTTGCAAAAGGCGTCGCAAGAACTTTTTTAGAGGTATTTGCTTTTTGGCTTTTCCTCCGTCTCAGATTCGTTCTGGAAAAATATGTCTGATACAAAACTTGTAGCTCAGACTTTGCTCTTTCTAACAAAAAAAAATGATTGATTCAGAAGTTAGTAATATGGTCTAACAGGATTTGAGATTTGTGTAAAAACTTTTGCATCGCTCATTACTTAACATCTTTGAATAATATAATAAATTTGTTTTTATACTTTTGTAGTTTTCCTCATGATGAATATTTATTAAGTGGATTCTGATCGATTTTTGAAGAGTCAGACAATTTTATTACACACTCTATTAATATTCTTTAGAAATCTATAAGATCCATAGAGTCTATCGGGATCTGTTTTTCACCCTTGCATTTGGTGCAGTAATTCATGAACTTTATAATACATATTTTTTTTATTTTAGAGACGAACACATTTTCTAGACTGTATTTTTTGTACTGTCGCGGCAGTGGTGCGGCGGCGGCGCGGCAGCGGCAGATTTTTTTTCCAGTACGCCGCGGCGCGGCAGCGGCGCGTTACATTTCAATGTGGACGCGGCGCGGCAGCGGTGCGGTAGCTTTCGTTTTTCTGACAAACGCGGCGCGGTAGCGGCGCGGCACCATGTTTTTTAAACGACGGCGGTGCGGCAGCGGCTAATTCTCAGCCGCGATGGACATCTCTGCTGAACACTTCCGAAGAGGAAATTTTTTAGCAAAATCTATTGAAGAGTGATGGTACCAGCAGTGCAGATATTAAACAATTGTGCTTTCAAATAAATGTAGAGAACAATAGATAGAAATATACCTATAGACTTAGCGTAAAATAGTGCTTGTTCAAGCGTTAGTTTTATGACGAATGATTCACTCAGAGCTCTTTATTTGTAAAAAAATTATTTGCAAGAATGTTGTACGAACTCGTCATTATGATTAATGATGATGGTAGCTTAGTGTTCCAGAAGAAAACTGCTATTATTACGATTGATGATAAGACCATGAAATTTCTCCTATTTCCAGTCAAATGAATATTGGTGTCAAGTTATCGTACGTAAAAATAATCGTATCATGTTTTTCAGAAAATGCCAGTATTGAAGGTTGCCTACGATGTTTTACAACTGTCGATTTTTTTAAATGAAGGTAGAGTAAATCGACGAAGTATTGCATGTTTCTTAATCAAAATGTGTTTGTCATTGTTAAAAGGCTATCATTATTTATATGTATTCAATTGAACGAAAGACAATTAAGAAAGAAGTTTTCGTGCTCCATTCATTTCAATAAAAGATCTCAAGACCTTTTCAAATGATCATTAACAATGATTGACGAAGATGAGAGACACAACGATGTTCGTATTCTATTGCTCCTAGCATTTTCTAGCCAATATACGAATAATAATAATAATAATAATAGAATAAATTATAGTCTATTACGAATGCGCGAAAAATGTCGCTTTGTGAAAAATGCAACATTTCTTTGTCCTTCTCAATAAAAACTTCTATTCATTAGATTTGAATAAAATTACCTAATCATATGACCATAATTAAAATTATAAAACCAATTATTCTTCAACAAAATTAAAATTAAAATTAAAATCGATTAGGAATAGTTTTCTTTTGAGCAAATTATAACTAGATACAGATCGATTACCATACGAAAGAAGAGTATGATATTGATCAATTTTAATTTTGACTTTGTAGTATTATCAGATGATTGATAGTCTCACTTGCGAAGCATTTCATGTGATAAGAAAGTTTATTTGTTAAATAGAACCTATTAAGACTAGAAAAAATATAGAATAAATTGTGCCCTTTCAGTCATTCTTCTCTAGTTTAATCCAATTTACCAAGATTTTTATTTTTATTAAGGTAACCAATAGCCAACAGAAAATTGCAATATTAGCTATACTGAAATGAGAAACGGATGGAACTCAACTTGAAATCTGTTGAATGATAATTTGACCGACTTATTTAGCATCTGCCTTTGACAAACTCTCTGTCGTTATGTATCGTTCACAAATGCTCGCAGATAACGTAATTAAATGCTATCTATTTCTGGTAACGATCAAATCACATTCTGTTACATAGAAACTAAGTACATACAATTAAATGAAAGGTAAAAATAAACTCAATTCGATGGAGTTTCTCAGAAAAAAAACTGTATTCTTAATTAAAAGATATAACCTATACGTGATTCTACTTATTCAAGGAACAATCTAAAAACTTAAATTCATCGTTTCTTATTGCTATTGACACATTTCTTCCATGAAACAAGCTTCTTATTACACTCAAATTTAGTAACACTTTGTACTTGATTTTCTCTTACATTTTATCGACGAAATTATAACAAAGAATACGTTAACTTTTACTCTATGAATATTTGAACGTATCATGCTAGTGATAATGAGTGTCTTTCATAAATTTATTCATGTTCTCTTATTTTTGATGACAAAAGAAAAAAAATGATAACAACAGAATTAACATAGAGCTCTGGCTTTGCGGATGTTTTATTCCACCTACAACTACTTCAACTTTCATCTCTAAAATAATAGATCACAAAGAGTACAATAGTTTCTGGATTTTCTACTTTCAAATTAATTTTTCGCGACTAGTCAAACATTTTCTGTCCGGTTTAGGCACAAACTATTAGCGAATCGCTCCATTATTTGAAGCTATGATCTTGTTTCAAGCACTAGTTGTAGCGAAAGTTCATTGAAAAAGAAATATTGATATTATGAATCGACAATTCTCATAGAAGTGCTTTTTCACCCTTTATACAACGCTAGCTCATCTGACGACTTTGCTTTATTAATGTAATATGAATATATAAAAGTTTTTTTAATAGAAAACCGAATGATATTTTACGTTTTCATATACCCCCCACAAACACAATCACACTTTCATAAAGTCATTAGTTAGCCCAGTTGTCAATGAATTATTACCAAAAAATTAATGTTAACAAGTGTTTCACATAACATAAAAACACTAGAAAAAAAAGGCCTACTTTGATGCAACTTTTTTTTGAAAGCAGCTGTCCACATGATCATTTAGGATCTCAATTCAACTCTCTCTTGATGAAATTAAATATAGAAATATTGATGTAGGATTATAACTGCATGCTTCAAACATATAGAATCTCTAACTTCCACGGTAGATTTTGAAAGAATAAAACATAGACTAGATGGCTAAGTTTTAGAGATGCCCATCACGACTGAACATCTGCCATTACCTAGGGTAGACAGCAGTCTTTTAAGAAGAATGAT